CCTGCCCGGCCGGGCCGGGCCCTGCGCGGCGGCGTGCGCATCTCCGAGAGGACGAGCTGCCTCTGCCGGGGGTCGCGTTTCGCAAGGCTGCTTCTCGTTTCTGCTGTCGCTGCAGAAGGCGGGCTGGCTGCTTTCCGAGCTGTTCTCTTGGGGTTTTCTTCGTTATTATGTTTGGGATAGTCTCCTCGCCATCAGCTGGCAGAAGGAGTGAACAGGATGGGTTTTTTTATGAAAAGGTGTTGCCTATTCTGGGAGCGGTGTGTTTCCCTTTGAATCAAAAGGTGTTGGCTTTAATCAGGTTGATTATTATCTTGGAAGTTATAGGTAACTTTGCCTTCAATGGAACATCGAATCAGTGGAAGAATAATAAGTAACACTTCCTTTTTTCTTGACGAAGAGCAGGTAGTTGCTTGTCTGGGATAGCTTAACCATGAGAGAGTAATTTCTGAGTGTCAGTATAGTTGTTTTAAATTACACGTCTGTTCTGAGACAGAGTGAGGAAGCTCTGAAACCCTGTTCGATGTGACTAGTGACGGAAGCCTTACAAGCACGGTGACCCTGAGCCCCCAGGTCTGGGACCCTTAGTCTGTTTGAAATGGCAACTGCAACATTGCACAGCGCTGTGTCTAAAGCAGTACTGACGTATGGGAGAATATCTTATTTTCCTTTTTTGTTTTCCTTCAGACATCAGAGATAAAGTTTCCCTTGCAGTTGTTAATTTGGTTAAAAGCCAGGGCTGTTGATAGCTTATGATTTGTTCTTGAATGCTGCTTATCTTGAATATGGAAGGCCAGTAATCTTGGCCAGTAAAAGAGGCTTTTGTATGGTTTTCTTTACCATTAAGTTTGTGGTGTGGATCTTTAAAAAAAAAAGCAAAACCCACAACACACCACCAACCACAAAAAAATGCTGTGCAGAAAAATGCATCTCCGCTTTTGAGTTGTAGGAGGGCAGGTATGAAGAGCGTGGAACCAGGCAGATCACAGGTGCTATTGACAAATCTGACTGGATAATTTCAGGATATGCCTGCAGTGCTGTAAGGGTGGGTTTAAAACCAGTGCATTCTAAATGAAAAGCATGACGTTTTGTTTTCCCCATCCAGATTACAGGGCCTGATAATAAAGGAATTTATAAAGGCGATCGAGAGTCCAGTGGAAAATACACGTTTGCTGCCCACATGGATGGAACGTACAAGTTTTGCTTTAGCAACAGGATGTCCACCATGACTCCCAAGATAGTGATGTTCACTATTGATATTGGGGAAGCTCCAAAGGGGCAAGACATGGAGACAGAAGGTGAGGAAGCTACTCCTGGGGAGAAATTGGCTCCAACTCAGGAGCTTTTTCCTACATGCATGACGTCTGAACTTGACCAGGATTCTCAGAGTCCCTGTTTCTTCAGGCTGCCTAGTTAGCTGTTCTCTTGCACAGCTAGAATGGGTAACGGATGGTTTTAGACCTCATTACACGATTTAATGCAAAATCACTGGGGAATCACTTGGCCATCTGCAGAAACTAATGCTGTCATCCTTTAATCTTTTCATCAGTTCCATTTTCTGATTTCTAGTTGGCTCAGCAGTATGTAGATTACAACATGCGTTAGTTGAGCTCTTTGATAAACGTCCTAATATAAAATTTTTCTTTTAGCTGTGTAAATTACTGTTTTATCTGCAGCCTTATGTCCTGTACTTGTGTTCATCTCTTACACTTTTCTCTAGGTGGTGGAGATACCTGGGATGGTATGTGTACTGCTTTTTGAAAGCTCATTAGCATCTTGTCTTTTGCATACGTTTATTCACTAACAGCTAACGTTTGCTTTTTCTCTGTAACATTTGTTTGTAGCATGAGAATGTCTTTTTAATAAACTACATACAAGGTCTGATTCTGAGCAATGCTGAGCACCTGCAAGCTTCCATCGAGAGGTTTATATCCTTACCAGCTCTTGGGATCAGGTCCTTGAACCGTCCATGACGGTTTGTCTCCAGGTGGTTATTTATGGAGTTCTAGGTGAAGTTAAACTAAAACACTGAACATCCAAGAACACTGGATATTTTAGATGGTGTTTGCTGTCTCTTGCTAAAGACAGTGTTGAATAATCAAGGGCTTGAAAGCAACGAGCTCCTTCTTTTAGGTTATGAATTATCAAGGGGAAAAACGTCAAACTTGTTTGCTGTAAAAGAACTAAACAAATATATTGGGTAACAAATTACAAAGTTTTATTTAAAAATCACTAACTGTAGCTAGAAAGGCAATAAATTCTTATTTTCTCTTTTAGCAAGTAAATAACTGTGCATTGAGTGCTTGAAACCACTTGAAAAGTAACAAGTCCCTAATGTTTGATTTCTTTTTTTGAAAAAACTCGGTTAAGTCTCTCATTGAGTCTGAATATATCTGCTGTAAAGAACATTAGTGCCGCTGTAGATTTTTAATGCAAACACTTCTTGAGTGTATTTTTTCTGAGTGAGTTAAAGCAATCCCTGCAACTGTCATTTCTTCTTACTAATAAGCTGCAGTTATTGCAGTGACCAGTTGGCCGTCAAAATAAGGGCTTGATGTTATTAGCAAAGTGAGTGTGGTTTACACAACTATTTAGATTTCAATTGTAGCTTATATGGGCGTTATTCTCTGGTCCTCTTTTTGACTCTTCCCCGTAAGATGTGTATGTTGAACAGCTTTATTTTCAGATTACAGTCTAAAACAATTTGTAAATAAAACATAATAAGGTAGGTTCAAAGTTGAGTATGTCCATTCAATGGAAAATGTGTTGGGTTTTGTGACTTTTTTTTTTTTTTTTAAGAGAGCTGATTGCCCAGGGGGTGTCTGCGGAGTCTTATCTTGAACTACTCTTGGTGCTAGAAAACTTTGAAAATTACTTGCACAACTTATAAATTTGTAAGCAAGCAGTTGTTTGAGCATGAACATGTTTAAAAGATCCTGTGATTGACAGTCAAAGCGCTAAATCTTAGATCTCTGATTCTTCCGTTTGCTGAGCTGTCTCCAGCTAGTTTTCTGTTACTCGTTTGGTATTTTCCTCTTCTGCTTTCACAACATACCAGAACCTGAAGCCAGTTCCTGCCCTCTGCCAGGCCCCTTTGGCGTTGTTTCTGCAGACTGCTGTGCTTCAGCTAAACCGGAAGATCGCGGGATCTTGAATGTTGCTTCAGAAAGTGATCTCGTTTTGCCAGCATCATGATCTTAAGCTAAATTCTCAGTCATTCCATTTTTGTGAGCTTAACAACTAGGAAAAGCTGTAACGTTAAAGATAATTTACTTGGAAATACGTTGGACGATATTGGCAAGATAGATACTAGTGTGTGGTATTGATCTCGTGGTCTTTTTCCGGAAAAGTATGCCCATATTGGGAATAAGTGGTCTGTACTTACTGATTCTAGATCGTGTGTCTTCTGCCTTCGAGTCGGATATGGAGAAAGATGTTTTCCCACTTACTAAACACCGTGGAGGCGTGTCAGGAAAAGTGACGCTGTGAAAACTAAACTTGACTTTGCTGGAAAGATAGAAAGTTTCATCTGTACAGAACTGCATTTTTCAGAAGTTCTTCTGTGACCGGAATTAAGTGTAACTGTTTGTGAAGTCTAAAAAAATGTTTTTTTGAGTCAGTAACAGACTTTCTGATGCTTCTGAAATTATTCCGCAGCTCATCAGAACAAGCTAGAAGAGATGATTAATGAGTTAGCAGTGGCCATGACAGCCGTAAAGCATGAACAGGAGTACATGGAAGTTCGTGAAAGAATACATAGAGCAAGTATGTGTCTTTGACTTAAATGCCTTCTCCCCTTTCTAATGAACTTACATTATGTGATTTAAAATACGAGTCCATAAAAGCTGTTCTAAGCGACTAAAAAAAAAAATTAAACAAGCTCTGAAGGACCTGCCTGCACTGCAAAGAATGTTGTTGGTGCTTGCAATCTTCTTTAAATTGGCTCGCCTCTCATGTAATGAAGATCGTTAGTCAATATAATCTTTGTTTAGTTGGTGTAAGTTCTGTTGTTCTTTGAATGGTGCATTTGTGAAGGTATCGGTAACGATATGGTTCCTGTGGGTAGGCTCTGCTTGAAATATGACTTCATCCTTGGAGTGGGTGTGGCGTAGTAGTCGAGCCAAAGTGTTTTTTAAATATTCCCTTGAAATAGAGCAGAACTATTCTTAATTCCAAGTAGAGAATATGGTTAACTCTCCAGTCACAACCCTTCCTTTCTGAAATACGGCTTTTGAGTAGGACTGAGAGCACCAAGGGGTGCATTAAGGGAAGACCAGTGAGAGTAAATTGCAAATGTTTTTAATGTGAAAATACATTATATTAAAAAGTAGCCCCTCAACTTTTTGAACTTATGGATATCTTCTGCCTGGCCTCTTTGAAGGTGGGCAGAACGGAGGAAGATGCTCTAATGTATGTCCAAAACTGGGGGGAAACATCTGGCCTAGCACTGTTGAAGCTGTTCAGAAAAGCGTCCACCCTCAGATCTCGTCTCTAAGACTGCAGGGTCCTGCTGGGACGCCTGTAGTGACGTGATACAAATATCAGTGGTTTATTTGCGGTACTTCAGTTCCAATGACAAACTGCATTTTAAGTTCATTTTAAATGCTTTGTTACTTACTATTTTATTTCTTTTTTTCCCCAACAGTTAACGACAACACAAACAGCAGAGTGGTTCTTTGGTCATTCTTTGAAGCTCTTGTACTAGTTGCCATGACACTGGGACAAATCTACTATTTGAAGAGGTTTTTTGAAGTCCGAAGGGTTGTTTAAGAGTACTTTTCTGGTCCCGGATTTCAGTTCACTGTCTACCGAACATCCTGGTCACAAAACAGTCATTTAGTTTCTGAACCCTCTTTACTGAACTGTAAAACTTTGCTTCTGTTCCTTCCTAGTTAAAAATGAATTGTTTTTATATATCTTCCATAGCAAGAGCTGTGCTGAAATCTTGTCACCTAATTGGCATATTTTTTTTTCACTTAAATCTGCCTAGTCTGTGTGCTAAGCGAGGTCCGAGCAAGCTGCAAACGCTGTAGTTCAGCTGTAGTAACAAGCAACGCTGATGTCTTCTCTAACTTTTTTTTCCCTCCTGTTTCCATACGTACTTGCAGTTCTATCTAGGGAAACGGTACAAGGCCCTAACATGACTGTCTATATTTTTGAGATCTTTAACCCTGCAGTAGGTGTTATGAAATTGAAACAGTCCCTTCTTCGCTTACATAAACTGCCAAGGAGAAGCGATTGGAACTTTATTCGGATAATGAGTAGAAGACAGCTGACCACTTCCAATCTAGTATTCACGCCTAGTTGCTGTTTAAAAGGAAGTCTTCAGTAAGTACCCTGACTGCATCGACTTATTCCCAAAGCTCTTTTAAATTAAATAGTCCATACGAAAACCCGTTTTCTCCTCTTACCGGATGTTCAGACATCCTGTGGTTCTTAGTCTCTCACGGGTTTTATACCGAAGCCAGTTGTGTGCAGTGTCTTGGCAAACAACAGTTAACCCTTTGGGTTTTGCCGGTCCAGAGCTCAGACCGCTGGCGCTGTCGCAGCGCGCAGGAGATCCCGATTCCTGATGCCAAAGGGTTAACGATTCTGGGGGTTTATTGCAATGCTATGCAGCCCTTGTATTTAAGTTAAGTGGCAGTCTCTGCCATTACCTGATCATAATTAGCATAATGCTAAATACTGGTGTGTTTTCTTTTTCAGGCACATGTAGATTTGTTTTTGTATAAAGTTACTTTCCTCCGTATCTGATGATTGGTTTAACAATTAAAGAAGCGTCTGACGTGGGTGCTGAGCCAGGGTTATGTTGTGACTGATGTATATTAGTTGTAATCATTTTTGGGGGCGGGGTGGGGTCTTTTCCAGGGGGGAGCCTCTACAAGTAACACACAACAGTTTAACAGTTTTGTACAATTAATTTAAAATTTGTTACAGGTTTTCATGTTCCAGGTAAAGTTTTTTCAACCTTGGGCAAACACTTGCAGCAGTTCTTCAGAAAGGTGGCTCTTCCACCTTACCGCGACTGTTGTGTGCCAATATTTTTGTGTAAAACACTTCAAATTGAATTCTAAAGATGTACATTTAAAAATTGCCTGTGAATCTAAATACGACCCAGGTTCGATAAATAAACAAATTCTTTAAAAAAAAGAAGTAACTGCGTGTATGTGTGTGCTTGGTTTTTTGTCTGTGATGTTCTGAGAAAAGCAGTTTAACTTTCAAGGCTTTTTCACAAAAGTATCTCTCGGGATCTCAGGATTTCGGCCAAGTGCCATCCCCCAGAGGGGACA